CCATAGTACCTTACACTGTCAAACTTGTTTTTAGGGGTTCAAATTGGGGTGGGTGGGACATAGTTCGGGGTGGGGGGAGTTGCGCTTCAACTCGCCTAGGGCACCAAAATGGCTAGAGTCAGCACTGTATATACGTATTAAAGATGTCTTCATTTTACTTTCTAATGGGCAGTTAAACCTGTGCAGCAGCGCCCCCTGCTGTTAGAVTCACCCACCCTCCACTCCTGTCCCTGTGGTAGAGGTGAAACCAGATGTCATACAGCTGTTTSTTGAAGCGTGCAGGGTCTGATGGAGACTGACCTTTCTTCACCAGGTAKTTATGAGCGCACTGCGAGTCAGAACCAAACAAGATGACTTTTAGTCAGACGTTCACTTAAAAATATAAAACAAAACACAATGTAAGAGCGAGGCTGTAGGAGCAGCGGTCACAGAGAGACGGGACAGTGGGAAGCTGTCAGGAAGAAGATAAAGAGGAGACATATGGAGGTAGTTGGATAGAGGACTAAGGCTGCGCTCACASCCAGGCCTTTTCAGTATGTGGTGCTAAATCAGATACATAACTCCACACATCTTCAGCTACAGAAGTCCAGTTGCTTCGTCCTTTTTCTTTTAAGTCTTTATGTCCTGGATGACTGAGAATCAACAGAAATAACGTCTGTCTTGGTTTCCACGGACCCTCAAAGTCTTAAAAGTCATTGAATTCATAAATCCAAACAAAGCCTTGATTATCCTAAAAATTTCTTCTTTTATGGGCCTTAAAAATGTGAACACATTGTAAGTTAGGATGATTGTAATTTGTCTCAAAAACTAAAATAACTGAACAGTTTTTTTTTTTATTTACTGGATGCCTTTATCAGCTAGTTGTTTTGTGTCAAAATAAATATTTGGGGAGTATTGTCGCTGTTTTTTTTTTTTTGTGTGTGTGTGTGTTTATGAATAACAGTAACTGCAGTACAAAAAGTTTAAATTAGAGTGTTTTTTATCCTTAAAAACAGTAGGTCTGGTAATCCTGCTGAAAAAAACAGCTCAGACCAGATCCTCACTGAGTCAGTGTTAACGTTTCCTGTATATTTTAAACTCCTGAGACTTTATCTCGCTCTTTCAGCAGCTGTACCTTCATGACTTCAGTCTTCATGATAGCATCAAGAAAGAGCTCGTTCTCTTTCAGCTCCTCTGAGGTGACGTTTTCTGACACACCTGTAGACGTCTCATAGTTGTCCAGCAGGTTGATGAAACCTACATTGGGGAAAATAAAATGATAATGTGTTTGTTAAGCTGATAAAACAAAAAGAAAAAAAAACAGTGAAAGAGGATAAATGTAGCGCTGATTTGGTACTGACGCTCGTACGTCTCCGTGCTCCTCAGTTTGTCCTCGTTGACGTACGTGAAGAGACGATCGTTGGCCCGATCTCTGGCGCTGTTGCTGCCCGGAGCCACGTATCCTGCCTTGCCCTGAAAACACACACAGAGCTCGTGTTGTCACTTCACACACATCTCAGCTAACAGAGGACGAGTTCGGTTCGTTTCACCAACAATTCTGTTCTTATCCCTTAAAATTCCAATGAATTACTTTCAGTGCTGGCTCTAGCCATTTTGGTGCTCTAGGCGAGTTG